ATATATTAATATATATCTGTCAGTCTTAAGTAATTATTAGTTATTATTTCAGCACATTTGTTGATGAGGTTAAAGAATGCATCTCTGGGGTTTCTGAAACTGAAATCAATGATCGTAAAGATCAACACTATGCCCAATGTTTAAAAGCGCAAGTACGTGTATAAAATATAAATTAAGAAATATCATGTTTTGCATACAATATTTTTGCAAAATCAAGAAATTAAAGCAAGATCTTTTCTTATTAGGTGGACCCGAACGATCCGGATGAATTTCCAGCATGGTTCCATGAGTTACTACTAGGTCCGATGGAAAAAATAATGACAGCCTCCATGTATTGAACTCGGGGATATGTTTTTCACACATACCATCACGGTGCAAAGCGGGCCACAACTAACTATGAAGTTTGTGTGAGGGGTGAAATAGATTTTTATGGAGTTCTACAAAAGAATTGAAAGTGTAGTATCCTGGATTGTTAAGGCTGAAAACAGTTCTCTTCAAATGTGATTGGTTTAATCCAACTGTTGTGGGTACGTCTAAACATGTTTGGAGTTGTTGACGTGAACGAATCACGTCGGTACAACAGGTTTGAGCCATTTATATTAGCTTTTCAAGCGGAACAGGTCACATTTCTGCCATACAAACTTGTCTTCTATAACAATTTCGTCTTTTATAGCAATTTCGCTCGATCACTTCTAGGTCTGGTAATTCGATACAACAGTACTCTCGTGGCTCCAATTACTGAGATCAATTTCTAAGCGGTTAGCAATAGAAACATCATAGGAAACAAGAATGAATGAAGGACTCCTAGAAGATTATGAACCCTAAATCGAATAAAGCATATGATCAAGACATGAAATTCCCTTTGAAAATCCATTAAAAACCTAACTGGGAAATTACTCAGACATAGCTGAGTTCAATATTATAAAAGTATTTAGAATTGCAGAGAATTGAAATAGACAGAGGTTAGAAATGAAGAACAGATTGAAGAAGGAGGGCCGATGGTGCCCCTCTCGATCTATAAAAGCGATCTATAAAAATGGTCAAAATCAGGTGTTATCATGATGCCATAGGAAAACGTTCGATCCAGCCGACGGAGTCAGAGGACAAATCGAATGAATCTGTTGGAGCTTGACCCAGAGATGTAGACCTAGGGAGCGTTGGATGGATCACTCTCCTGCCCGAGCAACATCAGCAACCTTAGCATCTCGAGAAATTCACAAAATCTGAGTACCAACATCACCCGAAATGTTTATGAGTCTGCCCATTCCCAGCTAATCATCGAACCAGAACTAGGTAGAATTTCCGTCTCTTATATCAGCTTTGATGAAATCAGTAGCCAGAGGCCGCAGTTTGAGAAATTTTTTCTATATCCATGATCCTCGAGTGCTCTCTTTCACATCCCAAAATGACGCATTCCTTAGTAAATAGTGCTTCGTCCAAGCTACCCAAAGTGAACTAGAGTTTTCAAACAGTCTCCATATAATTTTGAGAGAGAAAACCTAAGATGTGTCACAAAGCTTTCTGATTCCAAGAACCTCCTTCTTTTCTTTGGAATAATCAAATCAGACCACACAACTTTAGCCCTCCTTGTATTATTTGGTTAGCTAGACCATAGGAAAGCAGCACACATGCTTTCGATGGTGTCGAGACATCGCTTGGGTAGCCAAAATGTAGCACATCAGAAGTTGGCAATGCTCGCAATTACTTAATTAATGAGTTGCAGCCTCCCTGCAAAGGATAAAGCCTTACTCGTCCAAGAGACCATTCGTGATTTGATTTTGTCTATTAGGGGCTCTTAATCTGCTTTCAACATGCTCTTTGTTGCAACGGAAGACCCAGGTAGGGATGGGGAGTTCTTCAATAGGGATATGAAGTTGCTGCAGCAGATAAAAGAGCATTGGATGTCCTTCCTGCTATGAAAAGAGAGGATTTCGCAGCATTTATGGTGAGTCCCGATTCACGAGCAAAGTCATCCAGTACTAACTGAGTACCATGCAGAGAATTCTCTGTTCCATCCAGGAATACCATCATGTCGTCCGCAAAGCTGAGATGGGTAATTTTCAGCTCTGCACATCTCGGATGATATCCAATTTTCTCCTCTGCAGCCGCTTTGTCTAGAAGATGAGAAAGCACATTAATAGCTATCACAAACAAATAGGGTGAAAGAGAGCATCCCTGTCAAAGACCACGAGAGCTTGTGAGAAAGCACATTGATAGCTATCACAAACAAATAGGGTGAAAGAGAGCATCCCTGTCGAAGACCACGAGAGCTTGTGAAAAACCCTTCAAGCTCACCATTCACCGATATCAAGAATGCAGCCGTCGAATTGCAAGTTTGAATCCATCCAATGAATATCTCAGGGAACTCCATAGCTTGAAGAGTGGAGATGATAAACTCTCATTTAACCAAATCAAAAGCCTTAGGAAAATCCAGCTTAAAGGCACATCGAGGGGTTACTGAGGACTTGTGGTACAGCTCTGTAGCTAGCAAAACGGTTTCTAGAAGTAGACGAACTTTTATAAAAGCACTTTGGTTGGGAACCTTGGCCTCAAGTAAAACAGTTTTGAGCCAGTTCGCTAGAAATTTAGAGATCACCTTGTATAGGGTATTGCAGCAAGCAATTGGCCTATAATCCTTCAGAGCAAGAACTGTTGCATTAACACCGTGAGGCATGAAGTTATAGAGGATTGCAGTGATAAAATCAGGCCCCACGATTGACCAAGCACCCTTGTAAAACTCTGCAGTAAACCCATCTGGACTAGGGGTCTTGTTAGATGGCATAGAGAATAAAACGTGTCGAATTTCATATGGGGACAGGAGGTGGATTAGAGTATCAGCCATGCTGGGCGGACAGCGGTAAGTGATCAACCTTTCCAGAGAAGCAGCTGAGAGAGTCGGAATCAGGTTGGAGGAAGCATTGATAAACTGTTGGAAATGGCTCACTGCTTCAGCCTTTATCTGCCTCGGGTCAGTTATTTCCTCACCAGCAGCAGAGCAAAGTCTTTTGATGGCATTTTTTCCAGTTCTTGCCTGAACCGTCTGGTGAACGAACATCATGTTATGGTCCCCATGCCGAAGCCAAGTGGTTATGAACTTTTGCCGGAAGAATTGTTCTTCCACACTCGCCAAGTGATTCCATTCCTCAACAGCCATTTTTGTCGTGCCGAAAGTGGCAGGAGAGGGATTTTCCAGAGCTTGATTCTGACAAGCACATAACTGCTGGAAAGAATCTTTGGTTTTTTAGGTGATGTCACCATATCTCTAACGATTTAAGGCTCTAAGCTGGGGCTTGCGGGATTTAAATTTCTTGTGAAATCTGTGAAGAGATGAACGAGAATGGAACAATGCCGGAGTGGTTGTCCATACTTGAGAGACTACCTCCATGAACTGTGGGTGATCAACCAGGTAATTAAAAAACTGGAAGTGGTGCCACTTAGCTGACGGAGAGTCAGATAATTTAACTAGACTTCCGGTGTGACCAGAAATACCATTAGTCTCAAACAAAGCATGGGCTTGAGGAAATGTTGACAAGAAGACAGTATTTACCAACACCTGATCCTGCTTCTTTCCAATAGGATCAGCGTCACGGTGATTCCACCAGGTGAATTCAGGACTAGAGCTAGCCAAATCCATTATTTGAGTGTCCAAAACACGAGACTGAAATCCATGCATCCCTGATTGGTCTCGAGAGTGTTCGGTTGTAGCCAAAATCTCATTAAAATCTCTCACAAGCACCCATGGGACAGTAAGCGTATCAAATAGATTGCGATGGTGGCGCAGCTCATCCCCGAGCACAAGCGGATCATTGTGGAAGTTTGAAGCATACACACAGGAACATAAAAACACTTCTCCAGTAATTAGTGAAACCCGAATAATGATGACTTGAGGACTCACAGAGGCGTGACTGAGACATTATCAGAACAAAGAACCCATATACGTCCCAATCTGTTGTAATCATAATTGGTGGAGTAGTTCCACCCCCGAAAAACATAAGCAGCAATAGAGTGAAAATTATTTTCTTAAACACTTGTTTCAAGAAGGCAGCCAAAGGGCGGTTTTTTGGAACCGACCCATGATCGTACAACATTTTGTTTGCGCATTTCTTGTAGCAAAGTTAATAATGTTCCAAACACTTCTAAAGTTTTTTAAAAAAATTATATTTAAAAATAGTTTTAAAATTATCCTAATTTCTTATAATCTTATTTTAAATATATATATATTTTATTTATAAATTTAATTTTGAAAATTAGATATTAATTTAGATAACTAAAAGATTTTTTAAAATATAAATTATATTTAATTTAAAATTCAAATTATTTATTTTTTTGTAAATAAATTTAATTCTAAAATAATATATTAATTTAAATTACTTTATATTTTCTTAAATATATGTTAGATTTAATTTAACTTTTGAAATTCAAATAATATTTTTAGAATAACACGTATGATTAACGAATATGTTATTGTATATTTGTTTAATCCTATTCAATCAGAATAAAATTTCACATAATAAAATCTGATAAATATTAATATTATATGATAATTTGATGAGATAGGTTAAGTTTTTTTTTATAATTGTGGTTTTATGCGGATAAGGTTTTCAAAACATGTAATATTAAGATAAAAACTATTTCAAAATTATTAAATATTTATATTATATAGTAATATGAACAGATGTATTAGAATTCAGGTTTTATAACCATGATATTTTTCGGATCAATAGAATGAACAAGTTAGAAATATAATTTTATAATAATAATTATTTTTCGATTAATAAAATGACGGAATTAGAATTATGTTTTTATAATCATGATCATAATAATATTAAAAAAAAATAAAAATAAGATATCTAAAAAATATTTATATTTGATGAGAAAAATTATATATATTAAAAAATATTTAATATATTATAAATTTTGATAAAAAAAAATTTCTGTTTGAATTTTTTCGTTAAAGCAGACCCCAAATTTAACCCTAACTGAGTCTATAAAATGCAGAAGCCTCGGTTAGGCGCAGCCACATCTAAACCTAATTTACTAAAGAGAATCCTCCGTCGAAACCATGTCTTCCTTGAACAGCAAATTCTCCGGTAAGTTCTGTCTTTTATCGCTCCTTCGAAATTGTTTGTCTGGTAATACTACATCTGATCGATCTATCTTGTGCTTAAGTTATTTGATGTAATCGATTGTATCAGTTTTTTTTTTTGTTTTGGTATGTTATGAAATCTGATTTTTTAGTAGATTTGATCGTTCTTTGATGTTTCAAATCTTCTTTTTCTAATCCGTCAATACACAATCTGACGCGTATTTTTCTGTTAAATCTCGCAGCGGCTGACACAGGCGTCTTCTGGGACCTACTGGTCTCGGTCCTGATTCGATCTCTGCTAATATCAAATTAGCTCTCGAGAATGTTGGTTATACTGGCAAAGTGTCGATCTTTGCTTATTCTGTTGCGGAGCAGAGCGAAGAAGTAAAGTTTGGATCCGCCGAAATCAAGCTTAAACAAAAGCTAGGTCAATTCCCTTACTTAGACCTTAACACACACACACACACTCTCTCTCTTTTTCTCTCTCTGTCTTTCTCTTTCTCCCTCTCTCTCCCTTTTAATCTCCGGTTGATATGCTATTTCAGGGACTAGAAAAACAAAACTTATGGAGATATATCGGAACCTTTTTATGTGGGGACTAGAACATCGTTATGAACCAACAAATATGATGATAATCTCAGAAGACCTCTTACGAGACGTTGGCTACGTTTCGGGGCTTGTCCTTTTAAACGAAAAAGAAAACAATCTTCTCTTAGCGCACCCTCAAAAAAAATCAAGAGTGCTGCGTGATACTGCAACTTCAATATGGCTTTGGAAAAGCCTATCAACTGGAGGGAGCCCTCTCGATGGCCACAGCATGAGATCAGAATCTCCTCAGTTGTGCCGTCTACACATTGTTCTGCTTGCAGCAGAAGGGCTCTTCGTCTTACCAATAAGCGAAAGAAACGTACGACCAAAGGTTTTCGATTTTTGTTTCGCTTTATATAATGTGTTCCTAGTTATTCCTCTGTTGATGTGAAATCTCTTTGGTCGCTTCCATACCATTCGTTTGCTAAGAGTTGTTTTCTGTTTATTTTGTTTGGTGTGAATCTACATTCTCTATAACTTCGATTATGAAATTGTCTGTATAATTGCGTGATTATTTTGACCTTGTTTGATGAGCTTTTAAGAAAATCAAAGTTTACACGAATCTATAACATTCTTGTAACAATTGAATAATTATACAATGGAAAAACTCAGTGATTCCTTGCCATGTTACAACGAACTAAACATTCATTAAATTACACAATCGATAAGCACTGTGTACATTACTAACTAACCCGACGAGTTATGATCGGGAGAAGATGAATAATGGGCTCAACGAAGATGAAGGCTCAGTAAAGAAGAGCACAGATCCATCGTTTTCATCTAAAACTCGGATTGATCTCGGATCGCTGGCCAATGATGCTCGTAGGAGGAAGAAGCAACAAGACAGCAGAGGTTTCTCTCTGATGACTAAGTAACAGAGCTTACGATCTAGTGCTGCTGATACTAGTTACAGATATGTCCACGAAATGGAGGGTCCATTTTGTTTTGTTTTCTTGTTTTGCACACCACAAAATTTTATGGGAAAAATCACATTTTAAATCTGGATGGACTAAAAAAGTAGCACTTTAAACCTCAGGAGATTTTCACTAACATAATAAACCTTCAATCTAATTTCTCTAACACTATAAACCTTAAAATTTGGAAACTAGACTTGACCCTCTTGATTCGGTATGAAGACTACGGAGGCTGATTCTGGTGAAAGTCCTCCTTCTCAGGTGATAAATTTGAGGAATTGTCGGCTCCATAACACTTGTCCGAGTCTGATGCACATAAGGTGATGGTCTCTCCATGGCTTTTGTCCCAATTGCTCCCAATTAGCCCCAAATGACCTGTACACACTCCAAAAGTGCAAAACTCTCTAGGACCTAATGCAATTCCTAACTAAAGACAAAAACAAAGACAAATATATGTAAAACTACCTAAATGTATGCATGAGACTCAATATTTGGACAAAAATGCAATCCTAAACATGACAAATATGAGTATATCAACTTGCGAAGTGGAAGGCTCCCTAGATTGCTCATCTTTGCGATGCATCAGAAAGACCGGAAAAACAGCTTTTAGACCGATGTCACTTCCGGAGACAATATCTTCCAGACCACAGCTCCAAATTGGATGATCTCAGGTGTTCCGGTAAGAGTACTCAAGAGTTCTAGAATATTGATGAAGGTCTTGTAGACTGATTTGAGCTGGAAAGGCATCGTCCCATGTAATCTTTGAAACCCATCAGATCGGCTCTTGAATGCCTGCGAGACAGGTGTGTCTCCCGGTGGCTATATCTCTCTACTTACTGTTCTGAGATCTTGACTTCATTAGCTCCAACTTTGATGAAGACCCCGTTAACTGATTCGGACCAGAAGATTCCCCGGATTTGCAATCTTTGATGCGCGCAGGTGAAAGTAGGTTTTAGCCGAGAAATGCTTCCCGCGGTAAGCTTTTTAGCCGATAAAAATTCCCATCTTGGTGTGAAACTTCACCCAATAGGATTTTCACCCGGTAATAATTTGTAGCCGATAGATACAACTCGATGTCATTTTCAGCCGATAAACTGATCCAATCGGTACGTGTTTTTTGCCGAGAAATTGCTTCAAGCAGTTTTTAACCCTCTTCTTCACCATTTCAACTCCTGATCACACCTCTTGAGCTCCAAATAGCCTCCAAAGCACCTGATACAGACTCCAAACCATGCAAAACTCTTTGGGACCTAATGCAAACCCTAAATCCTAATTTGATGCCTAAAGACCTAGAATGAATGAGAAAACACATGATTTGGACTCTAAAATGCAGCCTAAATGATGCAAAATATAGACATGTCAACTCCTCCAAACTTGTCATTTGCTTGTCCTCAAGCAAAAAGAGCAAATGAGAGAAAGAAGTTGGATGCAACGAGAGTTCATATTTCCTTTTAGAAAGAAATGATCACAATGAGAATTCAAGTTCATGCTCAATTATGCAGTGCAAAGCCATACTCACATATACTCAACAAGTAATCTCCACAAGTTCTCCTCTCTCTCAACTCTTTCACATTCATTAAGCTTTTATCAGGTGAATCGAATGATGCAATGTTTAAACAAGCTGGCTTGGCTAGGGAGAGGCTATGAGATTAAAATGATCTCATCAGTGTTCTAGCAGGTTTAATGCGGCAAAGGGATCTCTCTATGAACGATCAAACTTCGGCAGAATGCTAAAGGTAAAAGGCAACATATGTATATATGGGCAGAGACTCATCCAACCCCACACTCAACTCAAAGTTTCCTCACTTGCTCACACTCTCAAGAACCTCTCTTTTTACTCTCGTCATCGCCTAACTAGGGGACTCATTTTCTTTTCTCATGCTCAGGTCTCGGAGTCTACACTTTCATTAGCTCTTTTTCACTTTCTTTTGCAATTCCTAGTCTCTTTCTCTTTCTTTTCAAAACGTTTGAGCTCCTTTGCTTCTTTTCACTTCTCTTTTCATTTAGAGGCTAGGTTTTCTTTTTCACAACACCAGAGCTTGCTTCCTTGACTTAAAACTCCAATACCGAATTCCTTTTCTTTCATTCCCCTAGCTATTTCCACTTTCTATTTTCCACTCATCTCACCTTTTTCCACTCACCAACAAGTCTTTTCCCCAACACTTATTCCTCGCCAACACTCTCAGTTCCTTGATGTCGTAACACAGCACTCAATGAGACCTGCACTTGTCGCTCTAAACCTAACATTTTCTGCTAAGTTTGATCCAAGGTGGCCTTCCAATTCACACACAAACATTGGCTTGAAAGAAGGATGGGTTAAAGGTGAGGGAACTGATCCATGATGCGGATTCATCTACTTGAGATAAGGAAAAAGGGTGGTAAAAACAATGGTTCTAGCTCAAGTATGTATGCACCAAAAGATATTTTCAAGTCAAGTTCAAGGTTCTCACTTAATTAGAGTTGAGTTCAATTCAAACTTGCTTCTCAGATTCAGATCGTTTCAGACTTTGCAACCACATAATAAAATTCACAAGCATATTCAGTTCAAGTTCTCAAGGTGATGTACCCTCTAGGAAAACCTATCATTACTCCCATGTATTGATGCAATCCTATATGATGCAACTAGACTCAATCCTAAAATGTGAAATGCAACTAGAATGAACATTTTGTTTTTTGCAAAACTTTTCTGATTTTTCATATGCACTAAGCTACATGCGAATCAAAATGCAAAAGGTCAAAAAAGAACAAAGAAAACAAGATCAGAAGACACAAAGCTCCTCCCCCACACTTAAATAACACAGTCCCCTGTGTTATAAAAGCGTGTGAGAGAAGTAAAAAGAAAACGAGACTAATGCAAGATGATATATACAAAATGCATATTTACAAGGGTTTTGAAGTCTTTACCTCAGTCGCTGAGGTCTGATCCCACGTAGTATGAGGGATTTGATGTTGAACAGGACGGTGTGGGCTCTCTTGGTGGGCTGCTCTCCGAGGACTCAGGCTGGAACACCGAGGCCGGATCGATCCAATCCTCTTTGCCTGGTGGAAACTCGAGATTCCTTGCATTTGAGCTTCCACCAAGTTCTTCTTGTATGACTGGTGCTGTTGAGGTTGCCAAGTTCTTATCAGATGATGAAGGCGCGGTGAGCTGCTTGACTTTCTTCTTTAGCTGCCTCACACATTCCACCAACTTGTGAATTGACTTATCTTGCCAACTTGCACCACTTTTGGAGACCATTAACTCTCGAGTACAATCTCCTTGTTGATAACTGAGGTTTTCAAGGCCTTAATAAGGGTTATCAATCCCCTTGTCAAGGTAGTATAAGGGGTGTCAATCCATATGTGTGGTAGTTAGGCACTAGTTTATAAGACAAGTTCTTAAGTCAAGTGAAACAAGAAAGATTTGGTGACAAGTAACAAGTGAAAATATAAACAAAGAACAAACAATCAATGATTAATGAACTACTAAACAAGCAAGCAAACAAAATGATGATAAAGCAAATGATGAAAGATAAACCTCTAGATGTGATCATTGATTAGGGTGCTTTAGATATTGATTCATGATGCTAAAAACATAATGCAACACTTGCTACTCTTTAGTCTAGGCTTCTTAATCAGATTAATTCATTCCCATGACAATAATCCCTTTGCTAATCACTTAATCAAGTCTAACAACTATTAGATATAATCAAGCAATCAACAAGCATAATGCATCAAGCCTAATAAGTGACCAAACAATCTCTCAACCAAGACCACTGAATCTTATACAGAAAGACATAACAAGCAATCACATGATCTCAAACATTTTAACTTAGAACTCTAATCTAGACTAATCCTCTCATGAAGGCATTAATCTCTACACTAATCCACTTTCAAACCAAATTCCCATTTGTGAAATATGAACTAATGAGCATTAAGAGACAGTTCTAATATGTCATTTATGATTCAAACAATATTCTCATGGCATTTAAAACATAAACCCTTAAGTTAGCTCTTTCAGGCATTTCATCAAACACTTTTGGTGCATGAAATGCCTATGAACCCAGATTTCACTTTCCCAAGGAAATCTGGCATTAGGAGCAGCTAACTAAAGAAATAAAATGAGAATCTAAACCCTAAACATCACAAATCAAACATCTAAGCACCCTAATCTACACACCTAGAAGTTTAAAAAGAAGACTACTCACTAATCATGATGAACACACCATTTCCTTTGCAAGAGGTGATGTTAATCATGATTAGAAGCAAAGATAAGAAGATGAGATGATAAGAAACAGACTTGGAATGATCAAATCCTTCAGATATCTCTTAATCAAAAACGTTTTTACACAAAAAAGGAAAGAAAACTAGAGAGAAACTAAGAGAGAAGATAAGATGTCTAGGGTTTTTCTCCAAAAAGCTATATATACTAAGTGCTAATGAACCGGCTCAGCCCGGAACAAACCGGGTCCTGACCCGGCTTTAGTGGGTAAAGTGGAAATCCTGCGGGTTGGTACAGTGTCTCCCAGGTAGCATGCCCAAGTTGCAGTAGATGAAGAACTTGTCTTGTGAGACTTAAATCGCTTTGTCTTAGCCGCACACCCAAGTAGGAGTGTTTTGC